CTAGAGATAGAGTTAACACAGGTAATCTTAGAGAGAATAACACAAACCTAAGGCATTGTGTACATGTTTCTTCTGTGCAACCAGAAAGAAACTAAATAACTGTTATCTTTTATTAAGTACTTACTATTCTTTCCTCAATCAAATATTTACTGCGAGTCAACCATGTGCTAGCCACTGTGGTAAATGCTGAAGGCTTAATTCAACAAAAAGACGAGGAGAAGCAGCCCTGCTTTTGCAAACGTCAGTCTAGTTACAAAGATGATAATTAAAATGCTACTACACATTTCCTGCATCTACAAGTAAATTCTTTTTGCTTACCAAATAACTTTCATACAACATATACAATTTAAAATCCTCTGTTCTCATTTAATATAATATTGTAAATTCTCATACCCTTCCTTTCCTAGTAAACCCATGGTCATCCGATGGCTGCTCGACGTGCAGCACCATATCCACATTCCAGGCAGAATGGGAAAGGAAGAGGGTCAAAAGAATACATGCCCATTGCGCCTGCCCTGCCCCCATCCCCACAGCTTGAAACAACTATCTAAGAGGCCAATCGAACAACTTTTGTTTACATCTATAAGGGAAGCTAGGAAACATAGTTGCTTTTTTTTCCTGTTTATTTTTCTTTCTTTAAGCTGGGCATAGCGCTCCTTCAAACAAAATCAGGATTTTTATAGCAATCAAGGAGAGGATGGATATTGAGTTAGTCACACATGTGACAAAACAACGAACAGTATCTGATATTAAAATATTCTCAAAGAACTTTCAACTATGTGGGAAGTTACAGTATCACTAATAATTAAAAATATATACACATATACGTATACACGCACATATATGGATATGTATCTACATGTTTATATATGTGTATATACGTAAAACCAAAATACTCAGCACACAAGATAAACTGAACCATTTGCCATATTAATAAGAAAAATCAGGGAATGCAAAGAATATTTCCAAAGAGAAAAAGTAGGTTCCAGGTTACTTGATGGGTCTTTGTTAGGCGTTTCCCAAGAAAGAAAAAAACCCACGTCCTGAAATAAAGCATTTCAGGCACAAAGAGAAAATACCAAGGCACTTTAAAATGACTTCCAGATGTCACAATCATTATTTCCTCCTCCTCTGGAGATCTCTCTTGCAGAAGGATAGAGATGGGGAAGGAGACAATAGACCTTTCTTGGGGCCCAGATGACAACGTCATCTTGCTCCGCTTGCCCCTCCCCCAATCAGGGAAGGGCTATCAGAGGAGACTCGGGCTTTCATCTCAATCTCAGTGTCATAGAGAAGAGTCAGGGTCTTTACTGTCAAGGGGCAGAGCCGTCCTGTGCTCCCATATATGTGACACAGTCTCCCCACATCCACACACACCCACCACTCGACACAGTAACACCCTCAGTCACAAACTCTCCCTCCCTCCCACACTGCACTGCACAGTCACAATCCCCACGGGGGCACAGCCACAGAAACACCGTCACAAAGCTCCCTATGCCTGTACAGATAGGAATACGTGGTCACACAGTCACAATCACACACTCACCACAGGGACACACAGTCACAGGTAACCCACACCCGTACACAGCGTCACGGACGGTCACACATGAACAATCATACCACGGGGACTCACAGTCACACCCACATAAAGCTCCTCACATCCGCACATGCTATCACACACACAGTCAGACACAATTTCACAACCGCCCCTCCTCAGCCCGTTCCGCTCGAAGAGACTTAATACTCAGTCTCCGTTCCCGCCCCGGGCTCCCGACTTTTCACCTTCGGTCTCCCGGGATCGCGTCAGCGGCCGGGGGGAACCGCTCAGACACCACCACCTGAGTCCAGCACAGCTCTGCTCAGAGCCGCCGGCCCCGCCGTGGGGAAGCGCGGCGGGCGCGGCGCCCTCTGGGAAATGTAGTTCAGCGCCGCACCCGCGACGGACAGGATGGCGCCCATGTAGAGCCCAGCCAGAGAGATCTCGCCACCATACACCACCAGCCTCTAACCGCACCCTCGACTCTTCTGGCGCTCCTGGCGTGGCCTCGCACCGTGGCTCTTACTTGGAGTCAGCCTGGCGTGCTTGAACTGAGCTTGTTATAACCCAAGACATACCACTGACCGCTCCCAGAGGTAGAGTTAACACAGGTAGAGTGTTAACTTGAGTCCTCAGACTTGGCCTACTTACACTTCTTCCCCCACCAGGCCGACAGTCCCACAAGCTCTAGCGGAGGAAAGAAAGCGCGAAAAGCTGACTCGAACCACTAAAACTTCTGGGAAATGTAGTCCACACTCAGAAAAACAGAGGACCAGCCAACATCGACTGATTCCGTCCGGTACTGAGCCCGGGATTGGCGGAGCCCAGGAGACCTCTGGGAGTGCTAGCCAGCCCAAGGAGTGCGCAGGCGCAGACTTTCTGGCTGGGCATCGTCGTCTTTGTCTGCTGGTGAGTCTGGTATCGGCTCCGCGACGTGCACATCTGGGTGTGGGACCTGGGATTCTGGGCTCAGGATCCAGTCAGGGAGGCTCTAGGGAAGGATTCGCGGAGCTTGCGACGGGGCTGGGGAGGCCAAAGGGGGGAATTGCCTCCTGTGACGTTCAGTGTTCACAGCTTCTGTGGATGGGGGCAGGGGTACAGGAGGAAGCTGGAGATGGGCGACCGGGGATGTGAGGGGGTGTGAGAGGGTTGTAGAGTTACAACCTGTGTGAGAAACTGTGGTTCCAAGTTTGTGAGGATGGATGGCATTGTGAGCTTTGTGGGGTAGTAACCTCTCAACCTCACTTTTCTCGTTCCTAAAATAATAAGGATGCGTTTTTCAGGACCATCGTTTTTCTGAGAGATTAGAGAGGAGAAAGGCTAAGCAGTTAAGCGATAAGTAAATTTTTAAGCGAGTTTTATATCAAAGCAGACTCGTTGTGGAGTAGAAAAAAATCAGCATTAATTTTTTTTAAGAGAAAAGATTTCTAAAAAACTTATTATTGGTGTCTAGGATCCCCATAGGTTTTAACTTTTCTTAATTCTTTGGAGGAACTTTGGTGCGGCTGCTTTAGAGAAGCCCTGGACTAAGGAATAGCTTTAAGAGAGAGTTTCCACTAGTGCACACAGCGCAGAATTGGGAAGCAAGTTGTCCTGTCTGGTGCAGAAAGATGAAGGAACCGATTTAAGACACCCCAGTTTGGCAGTGAGCATGGCGGTCTGACTCCTAACTTGACCAGGTTTTCCCCAGACCAAATGGCCTTTGTAAATATAGTGAAACAAATTTTCTTCCAGTGTCTGAAAGACACTTTCTTTCAGTATTTTATCACACTTAACATATTTTTCAATAAAATGAAAAAGTAAAGTACCAGGGTACAAAAAGTCATATACAGAAATAATACCTTTGACATATATATATATAAAATAATCAGTAATTATAAAGACGATACTTTATTTACAATAGCAACAAATCAGATAAAACACCAAGGGATATACAAGAAATGTACAAAAAAGCTATATGAAGATTATTTTTAAATGTTAATGAAGGACCCAAAAGAAGACTTGAGTAAATGGAAATATTTATCATATTTTAGATTTTAAAAGTCTGCGAGGTATTTTGTTACCCTGAAGAAAGCAAGGCACACATTTGGTGTAAAACACTATGTTTTTGAATTAGTGCAGATGAGAATGTATATTTGTACTTGCATGAAGAAACTTTTAAAGTTTATGCAGAAAAACAGTTGTCAAGGGGGAGGGAGATGCTGCAGCTAGGGCCAGGGTAAGAATCCCATTTTTCCTTGCCTGTTTTGTACATTTCCATTTTTAACTGGGATGGAGGAATTAGATTTCTGTGTTCGCGCCATTCCTTTTTGGTTGTTTATCATTGCCTCATTCTTGAATGTTGCCTTGATTTCTGTGATTCTACACTCATTTTTATAATTCCAGTCAAAACCAAAGAACAACCCTCCCACACACACCCCGCAACTCTGTTAGTGACTTATGTTTCTGATTGCCCCTTAACTATTAGTGTTCTTAAGTTTCTGACTTTGATCATCTTTTTTCACCTCTAAGATCTCTATGAGCAACAAAATTCCACTGCTATGGGTTCAGCTGACACAGATGACTAACAATTGTCCATTCCTGATTGACACTTGTCCTGAGCTCCTCCATCCTTGTATCCAACCGCCTAGTGGACAGCTCCACCTGGAGGTTGCACAGGAACTTCAGTTCTTTGTGTCTAAAATGTCGACTGATAATCCTTCCTTCTGCAGTTTGCCTCTGTCCATACCCCCTCTGTATTATCTGTTTCATCAATTCAGAGCACTGTCCAGCCAGAGTCTAAGCCTCTTACATCTGAGTAAGAAAAGAGCTTCTGAGTCAGTTTAACCCTTTTATCTGTCATACCCCATTGCAAATTGGAGACTATGGTATCTTCATTATACGTAATAAATGATAAATATATATGTTTGCTGACTCAGTATATGTCCATGTAATTATAGGACCCTTATAATATTTAATTTCTTCTAGAGTACCATAACCTAGGTAAAATATTAGGCTTCTAAAATTTTTAAGAACTCTGATCCATGAATAATACCAGAATAACTTCCTTTACATTTTATCCATATCACTCATGGTTGGTGACTTCATATTTATGAGAAAAGTGTTATTAGGAGGAAAATGATATTCAAAACTATGTTCAGTCAGGAGCAAGGCTACAAGTGACACCTACTCAAAGGTACCCATACAGGTTGTGATTCTATAGAATTCTAGCAACTCAGTCTCGTAGTTTCTCTGTATAACCTAAATTCTGAAAATAAGGTACCTTCTGTTTCCCATTTCTGAAATGTATGGAGCCTTTAAATGGCATAATGGGTTTGGCCTGAGATGCAAAATATACTCTTGTTTCCATGTGCTCACATGTATGTGTTCTCCAGCTTCCAAGCCAAAGGGTCGTCATTACTTTGTTCTTTTTCCCAGGCCAGCTTCCTTGTGCAGCCCCAAGAGCTGCGGTTTCCTTATCCTTCAAAACCTCTGAGGGTCCTAAGCTTTCAGCCTGAGTTCTGGGATGCTGCTTTGACCCTCAACAGTAATGTCTCAGTCCTGTGGCACTATTTAGAAGTTTAGTCACCAGTTCAAACAAGAAGAGCAATGGATGACTGAGGAAGAAATGTAAAGGAGGTGTTCCCCAGGTGAGTAAATAAGATCTCAGCAGGTGTGAATGGGATAAAGGCTCATTACAGTTATTCAGTGAGTTTGCAACCTCTGAAATTTTTTTTTGAGGAGATTTTCTTAACAGCCCATGTTTTTTCGAGTGACAATTGCTGGAAATTCTTTAGATATCTAAATAACATTTCTAGATACCCTTCCTGAATTGGTGCTCTTCTTTTCTCAGATTCTGGAGGACTGCTTGCCCCTCTAACTTCTATTCTGGATGCCAGCCTCTCTTCCTCATTTGCAGTCTCAATTTTATGATTTTTACAGCCTAAATTTCCTGTTTGTCCTCCCTTTCACTAACATTCTCTATTTTTTACTTCTCCCTGTATGCCTAGGCTCATTTCCTTAAGCATTCCATCCTTCTTGCCAAGGGTTATCGATGTGTAATCTTTCAAAAACAGGCATGTAGATTCTGTAAAATTTAACTTTCTATCATTTCTCCTTCCTTTGATTGTTATATACCTCAGAGTTGAATTTTACCCTCTTATTCTTATTTCCTATTGTCTTCTTCCCTCCAGCTATCATAGTTCAGTATTTCTGTACCTCCTGCTTTTTAACAATATTACAGCCTTGGAAATTAGTGCTGACTTCCTACTAGTTCACCTCCCTGTTACTTTTAAAGAGAAATAATACTAGTATTTTTAAAATTTAATACATACACTTGACAGACGATTAAAATAATGGGTATATCTCCTCATTCCTGGCGCTCAGTTCTCCATTTCTGTTCCCTAGATGCAGCCACTATCAACAGTTATGCTTCTAAATGTTTTTAAGAGTATACAGGGAGGCTTCCAGGCAGAGCAATGACATGATTTGGCTATGACAAGATTACTGTCGCTGCTGGGTTGAGAAGAGTTATAAAGAGGCAAAGGCAAAAGTAAGAAGAACAGTGAAGGGCCCATTAAATAATCCAGGCAAGACGTGATGTGGCTTAGACCTTGGTGATCCCAATGAGGATTGTGAGAAATGGCCAGATGCTGGGCATATTTTGAAGATAAAGCCAACACGATGTGAAGATACAGTGGATGTGTGATCTGAGAGAAAGTGTCAAGGCTTGAACAACTGGGAGAATGAGGTTGCTATTTAAAGAGAGAAGAAGAATTTGGGAGTTGGTTTTGGAGAGCAAGAGGTTGGTTTGGGGCAGGATAAATTAGATCCACATAGACCCCCAAGTGGAGATTTTGGGTAGCCAGTTGGATATGTGAATCAGCTGTTGAGAGAGGTCCAGGGTGTTAAATGTAAATCAAAATGCTCAAATGTCAAGCAAACTCTTAACTGTGTTCTGTGTAAATGGTGTAAAAGGGCTTGGCAAACTACATCCTACTATGTGTTTTTGTAAAGAGTTTTACTGAAATACGGCCACCTTTCTTATCTCCTTGTCCATTCATTGTCTTCTTGTCTGTGATCACTTTCATACTCCAGTGGCTTAGCTGAGTAGGCACCTGCAGAGACATGATATGTAAACAATGAGACATGACTAAAAATTTTGTCAGTCATGGTAAAACTAAGTGACTACAATAAACCCCAAAATGTACTGGTTTAAGGAATGTAGGAATTGATTTTTTGGCCACATAACAGTTAGGTGGTGAGTAGTCAAGATTTGTACAGTAGCTTTGGTCTTTGTGGTCCTTTAAGGATTCAGATTTCTTCCAGGTTTTCTCTTTTTCATTTAGTTGTGGTCAGAGCTGGATCAACAATGCATCCTGGTTCTAGCCAGGTAGAGGAGGGAGGAAGCACCACTTTAGGGCAGGAAGTCAGTAAACTTCTTCTGTAAAGGGCCGGATGGTCAATACTTTAGGCTTTGTAGGCTGTAGGATCTCTGTTGCAACTACTCAACCCAGGCATTCTAGCACAAAAGTAGTTTGCTTGACGTTCAAGCATTTCGATTTATATTCTGAAAATATTTTTTAAACCAAAAGATAAATGCTGTTGAAAGGACCATTTTGCCTGGTATTCAGATGATGTTGCCTAGTTCAGTTCAGGACTATCATTTTACAGTATGAAAAATTCAATTCTGATAAGTATGTGTGAAGGATGTTGATGTAATCCCTAAAAAAATATGAAGGGCTTTAATTACCAAGGAGATGTAATTTTTGTGCTTTCTTTTGGCTTATTAGGAGTATAGTAGCTTAAGTCCCCATCTGTTGTACATCATTCTTTTGCAAATTTAATGATTTTAAGAATTAATTGGAAAATTTAAAATAAATGGTACTACTGTATTTGTTAAAAGTTTAGTAAAATCCACGTGTTAAGCCATCTATGCCTTGGGCTTTGGGGTGATGAAAGGCCTTAACAATTGTCTCTATTTTTTTCTATGTTTATTTTTCTCTTTAGGTTTTCTATCTTTTCTGGTCTCATTTTTCATAGATTATGTTTGCCAGGTTTTCAAATTTCTTTGCACAGGATTGAGCAAAATACAGTAGTCCCCCAACTCATCTGCAGGCGATACATTTCAAAACCCCCAGTGGATGCTTGAAACTGAAAATAGTACTGAACCTTACTGTAGCCCCCTCTTATCCGTGGTTTCAGTTGGGACCACAATTGACCGCGGGTAACTGAAACAGCTGACAGCGAAACCCCGGATAAGGGAGGACTACTATACTCTCTACAGTCCTTATTTTCTATCTATGGTTATTTCCAGTTTAATCATTTTTTATTTTTGTAATTTTTCTTTTATTCCTTTTTAGTTTTTTCTCTAAGAATCAACTCATGAATTTATTATTATTTCTATTTGTCTGTTTTTTAATACATTAATTTCTTTTATCTTTACTAAATTTTTCTGTTTTTCTTATGTTTACTTTTCCTTATGTAATTCCTTAGTTTGAATGCTTACTTTATCATTATTATTTCTTTTTTAAATAATGTAAACATTTATGCTATAAGCAGTTGTTCAAGTGAGTCCTATAGGTTCTATTATACATTGTTTTCTGAATAATATTTCTGAATATTCTGCAATTTATGCTACTTTTCTCTTTGACCAAAGAGTTTGTTCAAGCCAGTAGATTTTGAAATCTACAAGTGAAAGATTTTTGTTTTTCTAATATATGTAATTTTTTTTTTTAGTCAGAGTATTTTGTCTGTTCTTTTCTACTTTGTGGAGTGTTTCAGGTTTTAGACACTTCTTTTGAGCATTTAAAAAGGTGGTTTACTATCTATTTTTAAGATACAGAAAAAACTGATTAGCTCTACATTATAAATTAGTATATATTTTTATTTTATGTTCCTATTTTTTATATATTCTCATATTTTATGTATTTGATCTTATAGGTTGAGAGAAGTAGTCTTCTCAGTTACTAATGTGTTTTGTTTTGTTTTGTTTTGTTTTGTTGGTGAGGAAGATTGTCCCTGAGCTAACATCTGTTGCCAATCTTCCTCTTTTTTGAGGAAGATTGTCCCTGAGCTAACATCTGTGCCAGTCTTCCTCTATTTTGCGTGTGGGATGCTGCCACAGCATATCTTGATGAGCGGTGTGTAGGTCCACACCCAGGATGTGAGCCCACGAGCCCCAGGCTGCCAAAGCAGAGCACATGAACTTAACCACCATACTACCAGGACAGCCCCTACTAATGTGTTTTTATATCTTGGATTTCTATAGTTTATGTATTCATGATTATCTTCTTTATCTTTATTCCTTATTTTCAGCATTTCTGATATACATTGTTTTAGATGCGTTTCTTGTATATATAGAGTTTATGTGGGTTTTGCTCTATCAGTTGTTAAACTTTAGCGTGCCTCAGAATCACCTGGAGGGCTTGTTAAATACAGACTGCTGGGCCCCACCCACAGATTTTCTGATTCAGGAGATCTGGGTTGGGGCCTGAGAATTTTCTGTATGAGCCTATCATAGTCCTTTTCTTCTAATAGTTGTGTTTATTCTAGTTGCATTTATTGACAGAAACAATATGGTTGATATTGGTTCTCTTATTTAATATTATGCTTTCTGTTTTAAATTCTGCTTCATTTTTTTATCTTTTACTATAGGATTTTTTATTTCTTTGAGTGTATATGCCTTTCCTTCTGAAAATTTGGAAAGTTGGTACTTTTTTCTTTCTCTTTGTTGCCTTTATATTCTTAAGTTTCTTAGTCTTCATCCTTGATTTCTTTGGACAATGTCTATTTACTCCTTACCAGGGATGATGTACATTTTATACATTAGTATATTTTCAGTCTTCCTCTTCTCTTTACCACACAGTTGGTGATTGTGATTATTACTCCAGCTTGAAATAGTATCAGTTGCCCCCTTTTTACCTCTCCCTTCAAGTATATGAAATTCTTTGCATCTTTGTCTTTGATTGTGCAGTGATCCATCTATCAAAGTCCTATCCATTGTTTAACTGTGAGCTTCTTTTTTTTTTTTTTTTCGGTGAGGAAGATCAGCCCTGAGCTAACATCCGATGCCAATCCTCCTCTTTTTTTCTGAGGAAGACTGGCCCTGGGCTAGCATCCATGCCCATCTTCCTCTACTTTATATGGGACGCCGCCACAGCATTGCTTGACAAGCGGTGCATCGGTGCGCACCTGGGATCTGAACTTGGGAACCCTCGGCTGCCTCCGCATACTTAACCACTGCACCACCAGGCTGGCCCTGTGAGCTTCGTTTTTATTAAAATATGTCTGTCACTTCGAGCCCAGTCTCTCCAATCTCTGTACTCCCGTCCCATATTGTAGCTTCCAGAGTAACTCGGATCCTAAGTATATACTCTCTTATATTTGTATTTTTTCACTTTGATGTCTAAGACATACATTGAAACTCATTGAGAGAAAGCCCCTTATTTTATCCTTCTTGTCTGCAGTCTTGAGCGTAAACAAGATGATTATTAAGTAATTCATGATTGTTTTAGAACTTCAGTGTGGAAAGATTTCCTTTTTCAGCTTTATTGAGGTAGAATTCACATAAAATAAAAGTCACCTCCTTTAGGTATATTATTTGATAAATTTTGGTAATTGTGTATAGTCATATAGCCAAAACCAAAATCCAGATATGGAACAGTTCCTTGTGCCCTTTTGCCCACACCCCTCTCCCATCCATGATGACCACTAATCTGCTTTCTGTCACTATAGCTTTGCCTCTTCTAGAATTTCATATGAATGTAGTCATACAGTGCATAAGCTTTTGCACTTAATCTCTTTGACTTAGTTTTACATTTTGAGACTAATTCATTTGAGACTGTGTATATTAATATTTCCTTCCTTTTTATTGCTGATTATTATTACATAGCACGGACATAATTTGTCTATTCACCAGTTGATAGAGATTTGGATTATTTCCATTTTTTGGCTATTATGAATAATGCTGTTATGAACATTCACATACTAATCTTTGTGAATACATATATTCATTTTTGTTGAATAAATGCCCAGGAGTGAGATTGCTGGGTAGAATAGTAAGTGTATATTTAACTTTATAAAATGATCTCAAATTCTTTTCCAGAATGGCTGTATGTACCATTTTTCATTCCCACCAACAACATATGAGAGTTACAGTTGCTTCACACTCTCATACTTGGATTGGCAGTCCTTTTAACTTTAGCCATTTTAATGGGTGTGTAGTGTATCTCATTGGGTTTTAATATGCATTTCCTGATTACTAGTTAAGATGAACTTGTTCTGATGTGCTTATTGGCCATTCATATATTTTATTTTGTGAAGTGTCTATTCTAGTCATTTGCCCAGTTTAAAAACTAGATCATTTATCTTTTTGTTACTGGGTTTCAAGAGTTCTGTATGTTTTGGATACAAGCCCTTTATTAGTTTCTCCTAGACTGTGGCTTTCCCTTTTTTTCTTAACTGTGTTTTTTGAAGGGGTTAGTTTTTAATTTTGATGAAGTCTACTTTACCCTTTTTTCTTTCATATTGATAGTTTTAACACTTATGTTGAGGCCTGTGATTCCTTTTGAGTGAATTTTTGCTTATGGCATGGGTAAGGGTTGAGGTATTTTTTTTTCTAATTATGGAAATTATAGCTTTGATATGAGTGATAGCATATTACCAGAGTCAGTTCTTGCAATGATTTATAAGAAACTGAGGATAAAGCTTTAAGAGGGACAGATCAGAATAATGTTGAAGGTTTCCAGCGAGTGGATGCAAAACAATTATAAAAGAAAGGATTTAGAGAGAGGCCAAGAAAAGGGCTCTTCACAAGAGAAGAGCTTGGGTGCCAGTATATCAGGCATAATGAAAGAAGAAAAAGAAATGAAAACTGAAATTGATTGCAATGACAGTTTCTGTATCCAGAAACGATGGTATCAATCATCAAAACACTCCAGTAAATCAGATTTGCAAGCAAAGATGGTTGTTTTCTGGCCTATTTTCTTTCATGAAATATATGTGTATTTTGCTGTTTAGCCCGTTTGAAACTCAATTGCAACTAGATAAAAAGAGCACTGTCATAGTATTATACACTTACAGATTGGTTCAAGTTAAAAGACCCAAATCTTCAGGGAGAGTTCTGTAGGTACAATGAATAGGGACTTTTTAAAAGTCAAATAGGATTATAGCAATGCTTGCTCCATCCTTCCTTACCTGCAGTTGCTACGCCATGTAGGCAACCACTTGCAACTCATTTAACTGTGTCTACTGGTGTTTATTCCCACATTTTATACAGCTGTTTTGCCTATCTTTGATTTAATCAATTTTAAGCATTATCAACATGCTAATATGAAAGATGGGGTTTAGAAAATTTCCTGCATTCATTTTTCTTCATATTTTCTCTAGAATTCCTTTAGTAGATGTTGAACCTTCTGTATTCCTCTACTAATTTTCCAATTATTCCTCTCTAGCCCTTCTCCCTTCCTTCCTTCCATTCTTCTTTTTTTAATTCTAGGATATTTCCTGGAATTTTTTTGCCCAACCTATTGAATTTTTAAGGTCAACATCATATTATTTCCAAAAGCACTTCTTTGTAGAACCCTGTTAATATTTCATTACTATATAATCTCTTAGCTTTCTGTGATACTAATTATAGTATTGTATGTATGTGTTTTCTGTTCCTTGCCTTGTTTTATCTTTTTGTTTTGAACTATCTTTCATGTTAGAGCTTTCATCAAATTTCTGTGATCTTTAGCTCTACCTTATTACTTAACATTGAGGTATCAGAGAGATTACTGTAATCTCTGTGTACATGGATGGGGCTTGTAAAATGGTGGGCTTCACTATGCAACATTCAGTCAGATATCTAGGTGCTTCTTTTATATGACTCCAAATGTCAGTTACTATATTCGTTCTCATGGTCTTCTCATTTTTTCGGAAAAGAACCCTTTCATCATCTGACACTTGGCAACCACCAGCCTTCCTGGAGTCCAGCAGTAGAAAGGGGTTGGGACCCTATTCTATATATAAACTTTTTCTCATTCCCTTTTCACTGTGGTACTCTCATCTACTTTGCCTGTCATCAGTAGATTTGGAGCCCCTTGGTTATACTTTGTCTGGATAATAAATTCATATTTCCTTATAGCTAGGAGAGTTGCGGGCATCAGCTGCTCCTTTTATAATCATTTTTTAAGCCCCACCTTCCACTCTCACACATTTTCTCCAGTTACACAGTCTTTCTGTTGACAGCTGTGTCACAAATTTCCTTGCTTCTAGTTGGGATCCTCATCTGCTGGCTTTTTGTTTGAGCCGCTCAGTTCTTCTGTTCATTTACAGTCTTTTATTTGCTTTCCTTTCAAAATTTCTTAATACTTTTCATCCACTGATGTCTCCTCAACCTTTTAGTTTTTATGAATATATGCCCCCTTCTTCATCCCCTTACTGCCATTTTAATGGAGTTTAAGATGTAGAAATAAATATCTTATTTAGCTACACAGCCTCTTTAATAATCCTTCTATTCATTTTATTTTTTATCCCTTCATCCTAGGCTCTCCCAATTTTGTGTATTTGTCTTTGCATCCTGTTTGTTACTTGTTCTTTGTGTTTTCTCTTATTTTGCTGATTTATGAAGTGTACAAGGTTACGTTTAAAAGCAGTTTAAGCTACATGCACCCATGAATGTTATTTGTATTTGAGCTTTCTTTTATACTGGTAGACTAGGTTTGAAATAAAGAGTCTATTTTACAAGAGCACATTTCTGAAATTTTATTAATAGTGGAGAAATTCACAATTGTTAATGATATTGATAATGACAATAGCTCCTTTATTGAATGTTTAGTACATGCCAGGCACTAAATATTTTACAGTTATTAACTCTTTTTAATGATGATTTTTTTGTACTTCCTTTTAGAAAAGACCTGGAAATTTATAAATAGAGAAAGACAACATGAAAGACTTGTGAGTTAAGTCTCATCTTTCTCTGTGAAAACACAGCCAATGAAAAACTCAGAAAACCTATGAAACAGAAAAATATTTCCTTTGAGCACAGAAATCAGTTCTTTAAGACTACACCTCTGTGTATGGGACTGAGTGTAAAAGAGTTTGGAACGTAATTTATACTTAAATATGAGAGAAACTGTCTAAGAAAGAACCATTAGGTATATAATGAGGGTGCTATATTTCATCCCATTTTGTAATCATCTAAACTCAGGATAACCAGTGTGAAAAAGTCATTATAAATTCAACTTCATTATATACCTGAGAATTAATTTTGGGGAGAAACTGTATGAATTCAGTGATATGGAAAAGCTTTCATCCATGTCACATGTCAACATATACTAAGGAATTCTTATTGGAGAAAATATCTGTACATGATAAGAATGTTGGAAAGCCTTCAGCCTGAATCAGATCTCCTTCAGCATGATCAAATTCATACTAGAGAGAAACTTTTTGAATGTAATGAATGTGGAAAAACGTTTAGCCTGAAGCCAAACTTCATAGAGCATAGGAAAATGCATACTGCAGAGAAATCACATGAATGTACTGAATGTGGTAAAGTGTTCTCTCGGGTCTCATCCCTTACTCTACATTTGAGAAGTCATACAGGAAAGAAACCATATAAATGTAATAAATGTGGAAAAGCCTTCAGCCAGAAGGGAAACTTCCTTTCTCATCAGAAACATCACATTGGAGAGAAACCTTATGAATGTGGGAAAGCTTCTATTCAGATGCCAAACCTCATTAAACACCAGAGAAATCATACTGGAAACAAACCCTATGCATGTAAGGAATGTGGGAAAGCGTTCAGTGGCAAATCATATCTCACTGAGCATGAGAAAATTCATACAGGAGAGAAACCCTTTGAATGTAATCAGTGTGGAAGAGCCTTCAGCCAGAAGCAATACCTCATTAAACATCAGAATATCCATAGTGGAAAGAAACCCTTTAAATGTAATGAGTGTGGAAAAGCCTTTAGCCAAAAGGAAAACCTCATTATCCATCAAAGAATACATACTGGAGAGAAACCTTATGAATGTAAAGGATGTGGGAAAGCTTTCATTCAGAAGTCAAGCCTCATTAGACACCAGAGAAGTCATACAGGAGAGAAACCCTATATATGTAAGGAATGTGGAAAAGCGTTCAGTGGCAAATCAAATCTCACTGAGCATGAGAAAATTCATATTGGAGAGAAACCCTATAAATGTAATGAATGTGGAACAATCTTTAGGCAGAAGCAATACCTCATTAAACATCACAATATTCATACAGGAGAAAAACCCTATGAATGTAATAAATGTGGAAAAGCCTTCTCTCGAATTACATCCCTTATTGTACATGTGAGAATTCATACAGGTGATAAACCTTATGAATGTAAAATATGTGGGAAAGCCTTCTGTCAAAGCTCATCTCTTACTGTGCATATGAGAAGCCATACAGGGGAGAAGCCCTATGGTTGTAATGAATGTGGGAAAGCTTTCTCTCAGTTCTCAACTCTTGCTCTACATATGAGAATCCATACTGGAGAAAAACCTTATCAGTGTAGTGAATGTGGGAAAGCTTTTAGCCAGAAGTCACATCATATTAGACACCAGAGAATTCATACTCATTAAAGCTCTATGAATGCCTTGAATTTAGGAAAACTTTCAACAGAATTCATACTTAGTAGTATATCAGAAAATTCATTTTACAGTAAAGTGATGTGAATGTGGAAAATCCTTCAGCAACAACTCAAACCTTAAAATACTGAGAATTTTAATAATAAGTATCATAGTATCGTGAAAACCTATAGCCACAGAACCCCCACAACAAACATTGTTAATGCTGTACTCTTAGGAACATTCTCATTGAAGTAAGGATCCAGTCATGGACAATAATCAACATGGTTCTGGAAGGCCTACCTGATGCGTTAAGACAAAGATATGAGAGGTATAAAGATTTGAAGTTGAGACAAAATTGTCATTTTTTCTTATGTTTTGCTGCATATATAATCATCAAAATTATTTCCTCTTGATTCAGTCATAGAAAATAGATCGTGACAGAATATTATATCCACAAACATGCATGTCTTTATGGGGAATTGGTAATTGAGAGGGGTGGTATCAGAAATCAGTAGGGAAATCATGGATGATTTAAAAAATGGTCTCAGGGTAATTGACACTTCATATGGGAAAATATTAGATCTTTGCTCTTGTCCTACATTAAAATATTTATTATGAAATCCAAAAGTATTGAATACTGGAATCAAAAAGTAAAACTTAAACATAAGAATTTTATGGGAGAATGTTTTTAAAACCTTGGATTAGGAAAAATATTCTAAAGTATATTCCAGAATACCCACTCTTGAGTATATATACATATACCCAAGAAACTGATACATGTACCCAGGGAGTCATATGAATTATATTAGCATGAATTATATTAGCAAAAAATTGGAAACAAATGTCTGCTGCTTGTGCAATGGATGAGTAAAATGTAGTAGAGGCACACAGTAGAATATTCTCTAGCAGTTGAGTATAACAAATTATATGTATTAACAGAAAGATGTGAAAAATTAAGTAGATTGAAGAAAAATGAAGTGATGAATATATTATGATAACTTGTGTGGATTAATTAAATCAACACTAACCAACACTAGTATTAAGCATTGGTTATGTATGAACATTATGTAAAACCATGAAGAATGGATTGGAATGATATACACTCTATTCCCAAAAATGGCTGCCGCTGGAAAGAAAGGCAGTAGAAAGGAAATGGGACCAAGCATGGAAGTTAAAGAATGCTTTTTTGTATCTAAATATCTATCATTAAAAAGAAATAAAGATTACAAGTAAATATAACAAAATGTTAGTTAATTCCAGGTTGTGATAATATATGTGTTTATTCTATTGTTGGTGCTATTTCTTCTAAACTTCTGAAAATTAAAAAAGAGATAGGAGTAGGGAAGCTATACTGGAAGTACATGTTATAATGGACTCACATTCCCAGTCACATGTTAATATTTTTTGGAAAATATTTCTGAAATCATAGTTTTATTATAAATTATGAAATAATTTTTAATTGAGATGGTAGATTAACATACAATTATTTAAATTTACTCTCATATCACATCACTAATTTGTATGTGGTCTCTACTCAGAAGTTATAGCATGATTTTGCAACAGGTTGGTGGGATCACACATTTAAGGATCAAATGAATTTAATAGTACATGCACAGACTTGGTAGGAAGAATTAGTTTTTACTGAAACATCAGAAATTTTAATAACTCCACATAACCAGTATTGGCATTAGAAATTAGACATTTTTAAATGAGGAAACCATGTTACTCTTAAATTTTTTTTATATGCCTCTAAGTGAAACATCAACTCTTGCATTTCAGCTTCAATTTTAACCTCAGACTAGTTTTTTTCTCTATTCTACCAGACACACATCAGTCAATCTCCCTTTCTTGTTTGTTTCCTTGTAAAAAAGTGCAAAAAGGGACATCACAGACCCTAACAGGATTCTTTCATTTGAAACAAATGTTTTTGAGTATTTTTGTTTACTTGATCCCTTTCCTCAATAACTTGTCATATAGAAAGATGTTAGTACTTTTTTGAATAGTGATAAAGATGAGTATGCAACATTTAAACCTTAGGCTGATTTCAACTATATTTCCTTTAAACTCAAAATAATGACATGCTAATATAACTATAGCACTGTACTGCTTGTTATTAGCTTTTTTAAAGGTTGGTCTTGAGATAAGATTAGAAATGCCAGGGGTTGATTTTCTGAGGTAATGTACCTAAATAACATACATGTGTACCTACATAAATCTAAATTATCCTCTTTTCTTCCATTCCTCATGAATCATTCTCTCATATTCCTTAAGTGTCCTGCCGGTGTGCTTGTGTGGCTTTGAAGTCACCAGAGCAACTAGGAACTCTAATTCAGACCAAACTAGGACCACATTTTGGTACCTATAGTTGTCCAGTGCCAAGCCGCAGCAACGTGAATGATTGTGATGGTCAGACAGAGTAAGATGAGCAATCACTGCACAGTATTCTGAGAGACCAGGCACTGTAAATTTATTCAGCCATTCCCCTATTGATTCAATTTCTTGCTAGTCATTTGCCACCACAAACAACACTACAGTAAACACCCTTATAGTCAGCCCTTACATTTCAGGTATTTTTATTTCTGGGGGATAGATTACAGGCAAGAGATTGCTAGATCAAAGGATATATGCTATTTTTAAAATTTTAATAGATGCTATCAGTCATTTTCAAAAACAAGTTTTCTCTAGCCCTGCAATAGATGGTAGTATACTATTTAAATTCATGCTTTTCTGATGAGTATAAACCATACCTGCTCCTAGATTTGCTTCTTTGTAAATTTTGATAGCCCATTTTCCTATTGGATTATCTTTTTGTCAATTTTGAAACCTCTATATATTAGACATTAGGAAATTAACTTTTGTCATAAAAAATGATTTTTTCCATAAAAATATATACAAATTTCTATATAACCAAATATGTATTAATTTTTTCTAAGCTTATGGATTGGTGAAAAAGATTTTAATCTCTAGATTATATTTATTTCTTAGGTTTTCTTCCAAATTGTTTATTGTTTCCTTTTTTCAATATGTAAATATTTAATCCATCTAGAATTTAATTTTTAATGTTATAAAATGAGGGTTCATTGTTATTTTCTTCCAGATGGGTTTCTGGTTGTACAAGCACAATTTGTTAAAATAATCCATCTGTTCAGCAGCCAGTCACAGCTCTGACAGAAATCTGCATGTCTACCAGCAGTAGTCAGAGATTTGAGCTGGCAGTCAAAAAAACAGAATAGGCTGTAACTCAGCATTAGGTTTATTATTAGCTTTATCCGGATGAGAAAACAACTTGCACAGCATGTTCATCAGACAGTCCTGCAACTGTCCAAGCAAGCACAGCTTCCGGGGCCTCAGCACTGCACAAGGGAGAAGAGGTCAGACTGGGTGTGGTTCACCTCAGCGCTGGAAAAGATTAACACTCTCATCCAGGACATTTTACAATAATCCACCACTATGTCTGCATGGTGTGCCACCGTCACGTGGAGCACACTCAGTTGTAAGACATATCCACTTAAGCGCAAGGAAGCCACTGCCTTGGTTTCCCAAGACATGGTGCTTTACTCCCAGGCTATCAATGTCTACATGCCAATTCACAGCTCACCCCATCCAGATACAGGCTACAAATGACGAATTTAGAGTGGTACTTTCTTTAAGGAAACTGTGGTAGAAAGGCAGATCTAAGGTCATCTCTCCAGACAGGAGTCAGTGAGAAAGGCCTCTTCTTAATCCTTTATTGATACCATCCTTTTCCTATTCAACTGAGACTTTGCTATGTAGTCCTTTAACCATAAGGTCTTTTCCTTATTCAAATGAACTGCCTTGTATTTTCATTTATACCAAGACCTGTTTCTATATTCTCTTGTTCCACTAATCTATTTTTCTGTTCCTATACTAATACCATATTAACTGATAACATTAATTTAATATTAGCCTTATTGTATTTTGATACTGCATAATAGAGCAAATCCCCTTGCTGTTTTTCAGTTTTATTGGCTAATCTAATTCTGTTTCTATGTAAATGAAGGTCATTTTCTCAAATTACAAAAACAAAAACTCTGGTTTTCTAATTGGAATTGCATTAAATTTATACATCTATTTTGGGAGAAATGACATTTATGATATTGTCTTTCTGCCCCAAAACATAATATGCCTTTGCATTTGTTCAGATTATGATTCATGTCATTTCGCATGAGGATTCTGAACAACGTAATTTGAAGACCATCCCCATTTAATACCATTATATTCAAGAAAGGTTTATTAGTTGAGTGAATAAGAAAAATCCCTGTTTTGGACTGAATGCACCCCACCCAAGAATTCATTATGTCGAAGACCTAACCCCCAGTGTGATGGTATTTGGAGGTGAGGCCTTAAGGAGGTAATTAGGTTTAGATTAGGTCATGTCAGTTGGCCAACATTTTTCCCTTCTGCAACCATAGGGACATTTATTGAACATTTACTATAGCCCAGGCCATTGAGGACTTATGTGTTTCTACAAAAGCCTCAGTTATATACTTTGCCAAATGCCCTAAGTACAGAGTGCATAAACTCAACTCTGTACTTTCATTCAATCATTGATTATTGATTCCATCATTGAGTCAGCTCTTGTTGTTGGCTAATGGATATATAATATACAGTTTGTTTCCTGAGGCTCACATAGTGTATAACAGATATAGGGTCAAGTGACCATAAAAGTTGTGGAATAGGGGCAAGTGAAAGATGATTAATCCCCCTCTCACTGAGGGAGATTAATAATAATCCATGGGAGTACAGCGGAGCCTGTGACAAACTTTGAAGCTCAGTCTAGAGAGGCTTCTCAGAGAAGGTGACACTTAAGCTGATTCTTGAAGGGTGAGAGTGACATCACTGAGCAGAGAAGGGAGCACAGATCGTTCCTAAGCAAAGGAGGCCCTATGTGCAATTGGCTAAGGGCTGTGTTACAGAGACTGTATACATGCTGTCCCCAAGCTGGGAGCAGTTTCCCACCCGCTTCACCTAGTTGGTGCTGACTCATCTGCTCAGTGGTTAGTTTCTCAGCAAGTTGTTCCTGAGATACCCGGGTGGGGCAAAACCGCTGTTTTTACTGCTCATCAAACTACATACATCACTGTAGCAACACCTAAAATTGCAGAAAATTTACACTTACTTTTACGACTGATAAATATCTGTCTCCCCATCCAGACATTTGTATTTACAATTGAATTCTACATTTTCTGGACCCTAGAAGGTGCTCAATAAATATCTGAGGAATTAATAAATGAATGAATGAATATATCTCCTCAAGACAGGACAAGTGAGTTGCCTATAATTGATAAATTGAAGACTAAGACGAATCCCCAGGACTCCTGATTTCTGGTCAAGACTCGCAACAACAAAAAGCCCTGGGTCGGGAACATTTGTAGCTATTTTGAAATTCAGCGTTCTCTGTCAATATAAAGACATAGTTCTAGTCTTCTCAAACCACTGTAACTTTCTCTTGCGTGGTCATCTCCAAGAGCTCGCAATAGACCTTGAAAGGCCACAAACTTTGGGAGCAGTCATTTCTTTCTCTCTTTTGGATACTGATATTCACAGTTATCCATCTGTTGGGGAACTATGTTACCCCCATTATCTGCCCAGGATAAGATGGCAATGACTTCTACTGCTCTTTTTTACTCTCTTCTCACAAGTGATTCATGGTGTCGTTGTGAATGGAATACTAGGGCAAATGATATCCATATTTTTAGACTGATTAAATATTTCCAAATTAAAAGTAGTTGTGCCAATTTACGATCCCTCAGTAATGTATGAGAATGCCCGCCGATCCAGGTCTTCACCAACCCTTGCTTTCAGACTAATTTTCCCAAATATGTTGATTGTGGAATGGTTGCTCATTATGGCTATGATTTGCATTTCTTTGATTATTTGTGAGGGTGAGCTTCTTTTCAAATGTTTATTGTCTGCCTAAGATGTTTCCCCTTCTGGGGATTTTCTGTTCACATATACCCTTCACTCAATTTCTTCCCTTTTTTTCACATTTAAAAATAAATATGGGGGCTGGCCCGGTGGTGTAGCAGTTAAGTTCATGCGCTCTGCTTTGGTGGCCAAGGGTTCGCACATTCAGATCCTGGGCGTGGACCTATGCACCACTTGTCAAGCCATGCTGTGGCGCCGTCCCATATAAAGTAGAGGAAGATGGGCATGAATGTTAGCCCAGGGCCAATCTTCCTCAGCAAAAAGAGGAGGATTGGCAACAGATGTTAGCTCA